TTGCGTCTCCCTCCCACTATCGCGCTTCCTCTTAAAAACATAAATTTTAAAAAGAAAGGAAGCTGTCAAGTGTTTTGGCTGTTGGAGCTTGTTTTTTTCTTTAATGGATGAGTAGCATCGCTTCCAAGGTATCATTGCTCCTGGATTTTTTCCACTGGGTAACATTGTGTGGCTTTGATGTGCACTTCACTAAGTACAGTGTGCTTATTTCAAATAAGGAGACATCTTGGCAGACTGCATCACTGGTGGCCCTTCAGTTTGTCTTTCTGGAACAAAAATGGTGAAGAGGGAGGTGTCAGAGTCACTACAGCTGTTCATTGAACTGTTGACCGGCTGTCTGGATTATTTAGTGGTAAGAAGCCAAACTAATGCCAGTGGTGGATGCTGATGTTTTTCAGGACATGTTTTCCTGCTCTTTGTAAAGGTAGACGTGTACGAGATTACCTTGTATAAACATGAAATGCAGGTATTTTAGAATGAGTGACAGAAGCAGAGTAAATGTTGTTAGTCATGCGACATGGTGCCGCACAATTTCTCCCTGGAGTAATCCTTGATTAAAGTACAATATACTTCCAAGCGTCCTTTATCTCTCGAGTTTAACTTTCTTTTGCCAAGAGAGGAGAAAGGACGCTATACTGACTGCATGCAGTGGTACTTAGGGTGCTGCGTGCAGTGGCTCCCACCAGTTTCAAAAGCAGAGCGCAAAGTTGTGTGAGTTCTGTAAGATTTTCAGTTGTTTATAAAACAGTGGAAAAGTGGGCTGTAAACATGAGAGGACGGTATGTAGATTGTTGTTTGATAATGAAAATACCAGCTTGTGATATTTTCTGCCTTCACATAAATGTTTTGAGAACTTATTTGTTTTAAATACATTTTTAAAGCCATGAAGTCTGGGATAGCTGAATAGTCTTTATAACGACAGCAAAAAGTTTATCCTTGGATTTTTTTTTTTAATGTTTGCTGAAACATGTAATTAGTCTTCTGTGCTTAGTCTCCTTAGTTTCTTTGCTATGTGGCATCATGGGAAACAGGTAAATGAAAATGGCCCGTGTCTCGAATGTCTCCAAACCAGTAATTCATCAAGCATCTAAGCATACAGTTTCCAGCCTGATTGGCTTGTTTTGAAACTATTTGAGATGAAAGCAAGCTGTGTGACTCTTGCTGGCAAGAACACACAGCTGTTTAATGAGGCGGTGTCACAGGCATAAAGAGTTTACTGATGGGGAACTGCAGTCAGTGTCTAATCACTGATTCTGATGTGCAAAGAAAAAACAGAAGCGAAAGGGAAGAACGGCCTCTTGCCCCTGCAGAGGCTTGGGAGTCCCCTCGGCGAGGCAGGGGATGGTGCGGGAGGCTGGGTTGGTGCGTGGTGGTTATTTTTGTGTTGTTCTCTTTGCAGCTTAGCAGCTGTATCACAGAAGGCAGCGTGTAATGGTGTGTGTACTCCAGCGTGTGTTGTCAGGCTCAGCAAAGGAGGGGCAGTAACACCAGTGAAGTGGTTTCAACACTCTTCTTAATTCTGCCTTCCTTTGTGACCAGTTGGAATTCATCTTCTGTGAGATTATGTATTTTTCAAGCACTCGTGAAATGAATTAGGAGGTACACGCCAGGGCAGTGCTGGAGAGAATTAGAGCTTAGTGCTTTATTTGGTGCCCTCTCCTTTCCCACAGAGGAGCAGCGGCTGGGAGCTTGTATCCGATGCCTTTGTGGCTTTGATAGCTATTCCGTTGCTGTCAGATGTGCGTGCTTAGGGTTGCCTGGCGTATACACTTTTTGTCACTGGCGTCACTGGCAGTACAAAGTGTTTGGTTAAAGACATTTTCTCTCTAACTACAGAATGGGGCATTCTTAGAGCGTTGTTTCGTGCCGCAGATTTTGCCAACCGTAAATACTTTCTGCTCCGGCTACGTGGTTGCAGAGAAGGGTTGCTGTTACTGCGATTGGAACATCTCGGTTGCAGGTTGTTCGCGCAGAGGCTCCATATCTTTCATCCGCAGGGGTAAGGCCTTCTGGTTTGGTTGCACTTAGGTTATTACGTTCTGTCACGTTGCGCTACGTTAGCCAGCGTGTAAAGCACAGCGGGGCAGGTCTGTGGAGTTAGGGCTGAATGCCCGACACCTGCGCTGTGCGCGTTGGGGTAGGAGGGTCCGTCAGACTAGTACGTAACTCTTGTGGACTGAATGCACATAGAACCATAGAATCATTTAGGTTGGAAAAGCCCTTTAAGATCACCCAGTCCAACCATTAACCTACACTGCCAAGTCCACCACTAAACCGATTAAGGGGAGAGTAGCAATTCCATGTTTCCTGGCTTGGTGGATGGATTATTTTTAATGAAAGTAAAAACTAGGAATCATTAAGCTTGGAAATAATATATCTTAACGCACTGTAACGTAACTGCTTATTAATCTCCTTCCCTCTTTCTTCCACCTCAGGAGTATTTTTGCTACTTTATCATTGCAGCCGTCTTTAAAAATAGCTATAGAGGTGATGATCTAAATGTGACTAAATTACTTTTTTTTTCTGTAGATAAGAACAAATCACACTACCTGTGGTAAGTCAGCATTAGCAAGAAGAAAGCAAGGAAGTTTAACCCTAGTGAGCTAAATGTCACTTCTGTTTGTTCCTGCCAGCGTAATGGAAACCTCCGATCAGGTCGCGTACAGCTGGAGGACACGGCAGGGAGCAGCAGTCACCCGCTCGCCCGCCTCTCAAATGGCCAGCAGTTCAGCTGCGCAGAGCAGCCGCTGCTCTCGGTCCGCTGCTTTGGTTTGCGCATGTGATCTCCGAGCGGCTGCCCGGAGCTGGACGAGGGCAGCGTGGAGGCGGGCAGCTGTTGAGCTCATGTTGAGCTCGCGTTGCCCGCGTGCGAGTGGAACGGGGGTGCTTTAGAGCCCTGGCGCATGGGGCGACGGGCGGCTCGTGGCCCCCTGAGGCATTGCAGGCAGTAACCTGACGGGAGTCTGGCGACGATGAGAGTGAACCCGATTTTCTGTATCAGACTGAGCCAAACAGCTGAGGTTGTTACTTACGGGTTGTGCGGAGCTGGATAAATTGTTAACCCAAAACTAAAATGAAGGTTGTGGGTGGAGAGGGAAGGGAATTGTGAGAAGTGAAGACAATTATAGCTGCTTTCGGTACCTACAAAGACTAGTAATTTGCCTCCTTAAGAGAATAGGATGAAAAAATAGCCGAAATACATTCAAGATGTACATCATTCCAGGCTTTCTACGTACAGTCAGCTTTCTTCCCTATCCAATCTTAATAAAATAACTTTGTGAGTATGAAGGCTTTTTTACTTCGGGTTGAGACTGTAGGATGGTTGGACTCGATGATCTTAAAGGTTTCTTCCAACATAAACAATTCTGTGATTCTCTGTATGTCTGTATTTACTGAAGAGGGCTTGGGAAAGAAAAATTGTATAGTGCTAAGGTACTTTTGTAGGTCACCTTTTACATATTGGCATATTTACTTCTGAAAATGATGATCTTTTCTAGCAGTAGGGGTGAACGGCCAGTGTGGTTTTCTGTATTTATTTCCTACAGTTGTTCAAAAGGCTCTCTTCCCCTCCCTGCCCCGGTGTTGGAAATACTGGAATCTGGGGAGAAAAGCTAGGTACGACTTGCATAAATCATAAAATAAAAGAAAGGCTGTAGTATTACCTAACTGAAACTTAACATTGTGTAGTATTTGAGGTTGGAAGGCACCCCTGCACATCTCTAACCCAACTGCTCGCTCTCTCCCCGCCAGAGAGGGTCAGCTGGGGCGTTTTGCTCAGCCCGCGTCCAGGCGGGTTTTGGGGACGGAGGTTCCACCACCTCGCCGGGCAGCCTGCTTCCAGGGGTTTGTTTTGTCCAAGGTTGCAGTAGAATTTCCGGTATTCCAGCGTGCGCCTCCAGTCCTCTCGCCGGTGCCTCTGAGAAGAGTCCGGCTGCGTCTTTGCTCCCTCCCATCAGACATGTATACGCGTTGATGAGATCCTCCCGAGAGGTGGGGAGCTTCGCCTGCCCGTGTGCGCTGCGTGCACCCTCGCCCTAATCACATCAGCACCGCTCGGTCGGTAACGTGCCTTCGCACGATGCTGGCAAAGTGGTTGTTAAGACAGCACTTCTAAGCTGAAAGAATGCACATGAGATTTCTCATGAGTTATTCATACTACCGTCATATGAAAATAATTAGCGTACCGTTTCCTCAATTTGCAAATGACGAACTGTGGCATGTTGTTCGACAGGGTAGCATTTGCAGAGTATAGGAGATGAGCAGGTTCTCCCACCCATGCTCTTCTTGTTCTCCTCAAAAGCTACTTCTGACTGTACTAAATGACCAAAGAATTTGAAGTTCCTTATTTCAAATCTTTCATCCAGATCCCTTCCTACGTTTGAAGCCCGCTGTAGCTAATAGGCCCACTCTCAGTATTTGGGAAGCCATCGGTGCTGTTCCCGAGATTCACTTCTGGCGTTCATTATTCCAGTTTTTCTTTCCTGATTTAGAGCTATTGAAGTTTTGCACGTAGCCATGGTGCCTTTTAGTAACAGAAGTCCTATAAAGCTGTTTGATAGACCAGGTGATTAGACTTTGGGATAGCCGAGTGTGAACACGACCATGTTTTGAAATTAGGAGAACTTGATTTCCATGCAGCGTTGTGTGGGCTTAGCGTTTTTCTCAAGAAAAAAGAACTAATTCTCCGAATTCAAAGAGTCTGTTTCCGCTTTCAGTAGCATCCTTGTTTCCTAGACTGGCAGGATAAGTGGTTTATTTGTTAATTTGAGATGGGAGCGCACTTTGTATTCTGTGGAGGATTAAGACGCTTCAGGGTGTTGGCAGCGAAGGGTTAAAAAGGGAATTCCCCTCAGCATCAGTTAGCTTGAGTAACTGTATTCCCGTGTTTTGAGTCCTGTTTCGTTTCCTAATCCTTCTGTTGATAGCGTTTGGGTGCATTTCTCGTGACTGGGATGATTGCTGGATGTTCTAACGGCCTGGTTTTTCTCTCATTTCAGCCTCAAGGGATAGGTTCGCCGAGCGTCTACCACGCTGTCATAGTCATCTTCCTGGAGTTTTTCGCTTGGGGACTCCTGACGGCGCCCACGCTGGTGGTAAGTGATGCGCTCAAGCTTCTCGCTGTGTGGGAGACAGGGCGGTTACTGCAAAGGCACCGAACTTCTTCCAAATTAAATGGAAATTATGTGCATTGAGCCGCTCTGTTGTGCAAGTGAGGAGTTTTGTGTTTTTACGTGGAACCAGGAATTTAAAATCACTTCACTAAAGCAGCGTAACGATGCGGCTAGCTGTTCATGTGCAAGTCTGCTAACGCTCAAGCTTACATGTAAATATTTTCTGATTTGAAACCAGTAAGATAGCGATGAAATTATCTTTGCTTTCAAGATGCTACAAAAAGTTGGCCCATTAGAAATGTAAGGACAAAAATACACTAGAAACTTGGTAAAATTATGCAAGCGTGTGCGTAGGTGGGTAGGGAGATGTTTGCTGACCTGGCTGTGCTTTAAGGGCAGCTCCAGAGCACAGACCCTGTTACACCAGTCGGAGCGTCCCCACGATTAGCGAGACAGTCACAGCAACGTGTTGGTACCAAATTATTTTCTAGTGTAGTTGGTTGCTTTCCATTTGGATTTGATCTTTGAGAGTGACTCACGCTTACAAATTAAAAGGAGCAAAGGCTTCGAGATCTCCAGGCAAAGTCCAGCCACAGTGGCGGTCTTGGCGCGGCTCTGTGCGCTGGCTCTCGGATATAAACCGCGCGTCGGTCCCCGAGTGGCATCCAGCTCACGTGAGGCGAGGCAGGCCGGGAGCGCTGCCTGTTCTAACCCGCACAGCTAGGCTCTGGTCACCGAATTGAGAGGCGTGTCAGAGTGCCGTCGTCTCTCCTCTCCCCCCAGCCCCCGACAGATGACACAGTACCATGGGGGATCTGCCCCGAGATCCTTCTCCAGCTTCTCTGTGGTCTGCACGGATTTTGGACGCTGAAGTTGGATGACGTACATCCTTCCCAAAGTGCGGAGAGGACTGGGGCCTCTCTCAAGTAAAGCTAAAACCTTAAAGCGCCTTCCATCTGAATTAGAGATTAAACAGATTATTTGTGGTGTGTCTTGTCTTTTTTTCTTTCTCTGTATTCTACGAAAATACAAAACTGCTGTGGGTGTGCCACTGTAGAAGTTGGATGCATTGCGAGCAATAATTTGTAGTTAATATTGCGTAAATGACAGTGTTCATATTTCTTCTCCAGGTTTTGCATGAAACCTTCCCAAAACATACATTTCTAATGAATGGTCTAATTCAAGGAGTAAAGGTAAGGTGACAGAAGTTCATCACAAGTACAATTTAAAGTGAGTGGTGGGAGGAATATAGGAGTGACTGCCAACAGAGAGAAACATCCTAGGGGTTTTTCAATATAGCTTTCCCGTTATAAATAAAATGGGAATAAATGATTGCTAAAAAAGCAAATACGCGTCATTTTATGTTTAGTAAGATATTGCTTGGTCCGTACCTGCTGTTTGGGCTCAGCAAATAAAGAGGTCGTTGACTAATCCCAATTGACACACGTGGTGTTAATGTTTGAGAATTTTTTACTTGGAGCTTGGTGTTCCAGTAGGGTATTTTCAATTGCTTCTGTTTATGTGAATTTTAAATGTATAAAACTATAAAACACAGTTCAGAGAAGTGCTGGTATGACCAGATCATCTGCATTTTGAATTTTCTGTAGCTCTGAGGTAGTAAATCTCAAATTCTATGTAACCAGACATGGGAGAGAAGATGAGCGATGCTGGACTGTACTGCTTTCGATGCCTTGCACTGTAGGCATCACCTTTATCAAAACAGAGCCCAGCCTGCTATTGGATCGTGGTGCGGTCGCCTATCATGCTTCTAACCACTCCGTTCTAACGTCAAATGTTTTGTTTTCTTTAGGGCTTGCTCTCGTTCCTCAGTGCCCCGCTCATAGGTGCCCTCTCTGATGTGTGGGGACGAAAGTCCTTCTTGCTGCTAACGGTGTTCTTCACCTGCGCACCAATACCACTAATGAAGATCAGCCCATGGTTAGTAAATTCCTTCACGCTAGATTTGCCGTTTCTTGTCGAGGTTGCTGTACGGTGCTGATGTTCCTGGCGTTGCGGATATAATCCCGTTTGTGCTCCGCGGAAGGTTGAGGCTTTTGTATTGCTTCAGTGCAAAGTTGGGAGGATGGAGTCAAACTGAAGTAGCTGCCACGAGGCCAAAGGCCTTGGTCAGAATTTCAGAGGTGGTGGTTTTGAGCCCTGTGCTGCAGGCCCCACTTCCTACTTCAGCGCATTCGCAAAAGGTACGAGAACGCTATCCAGTAAACCGTGCAGGTCTTTAGTGCAGCCGTGTTACTCAAATGCTAACCAGCTACGCAGAAACGAAAACCTTACCTGATGCAGGCTAGCGCACGAAGTGACCGTTGGCAACCTGAAATGTTGCTGAAGTTTTATGCTTCTGTTTCTCAAGTCCCAAAATCCACAGCTTGCACGCTGTGTGCAAGTTAGTAAGCTCTCAACTGGCACGTACGTTCCCCAGTAGCACGTGGGTCAGAACTGCCGGTGCTGTTGGACAGCCCGCGTGCCGTACCCGCGGGTGAAATAACGGAGACGGCGCTGACGCGGGGCAGAGCCAGCTGTTTGGGCAGCTCCGTGAGCCTTTCCCGTTTTCCCTCCGGTCACACGGATTGTTCATGGATTCTTCATCCCTTTTCCGGGAAGTAGCTCGTTTCCAAGGATAGATTAAGGTTTCAAAGGATGAGTGCTAGTGCCTACAGCGTAAAGAGAAGGCTAATGTTGCAACCTCTCAGTGACCAGATCCTCACACTACTGAAGTTCGAACTTGCTTCAGGTCGTAGGCATCCTGTTGAAGTTACTTGATCACCTTGCTTCCTAGAAGGACGCAATCGCAGCAGCTTTTTGTAGATGTTACAAAATTACAGAAAAAAATATCTTTGTACTTGGTGCGCTAAGGAGGAATTGCACAGCAGTATCGAGACACACGCATGTAGGCTTTACCCAAGTTTATCTTAAGATTTGTCAGGAAAAGTTGGACAAGATGTTTTACTGTTGAACTGTACTTGGATTGTAAACAGAGACTTTTTGTTTCTATTTAGCTGTTCTGATTTTTTCATACTGTTCTTAGGTGGTACTTCGCCGTTATCTCCGTCTCCGGAGTTTTTGCAGTGACGTTTTCTGTGGTTTTTGCATATGTAGCAGACATAACCCAAGAACACGAAAGGAGCATGGCCTATGGCTTGGTACGTACTGGTTTGGCTCTGCCTCTGTGGTATTCAGTGCTAAATGCTTCGAGTAGGTAAAGCTTTCCCAAACGGTATTTTTGTTTCTTCTCTGGCAAGTTGATTTTAGTTTGGGGTAAGTTTTTTCTGTTTAATTGTTCTCGTCATCCAGTCCCATATCTCTTGAATACTCTGCTTCCAACTTAAACAAAGCAGGACCCTGGCAAAAGCTGTCTTTCAGCTGTCTGAGCAGTTATGGTCAGCGTCCATGGTGTAATTTGAGGGGCTGCAGTTACTCCTCCATTGTTTCTCACACCGCTGCTACTCTGTCATCTTTTCAAAAAGCCAGCCCTTTGTTCCTGGCTAACTTTGGAACTGCCATCGTGCGATACCTTGACTCCGCTCGTGTCTGCAGTCACACAGAACGAACGGAGCCGAGTAGCTTCTCTGCCTGCAGTTCTTCCAGCTCGCCTCCATTTCTCCGTTACCGCCCGATAACCTGCCCGATCTTGGAGCCTTCAGAGCCCTGTGTATTTATTATTTGTTGTGTTCAAGTTACAGAACCCATTATCTCATGCAGTGGGAAGAGCTGAAAGCAGCAGACGTAGAACTAAATAGTTTCTTTCTGCCTGTACACATCAGGGATTGAGATACGTTGAGAAAGTGCCGTCAGTTTTGAAGTTAACACCTTTCCCAACAAGGCCAGCTGGTTAACTGAAAACTACTTGCTGAAGATCCACTGTACTGAGTTGGCTTAACCAGCACATTAAATTCAATACGCCCTTCATACACGTGACTCTTTTCTTAACAGGCACCACGTATTTCACTGCTGTGGAGATTAACTACAGCTCATCGCCTCCCCGAGATATCGGTAGACTGTGTAGTTAATTAAACCTCCTCACATCAGTACATGCAGGAGTGCTGTGAGCCTCGCATTGCTGTCCAGTTATCAGAAGGAAAATTATGGGGTTTTCTTGAAAAATTTTGGCTGTCTGAAATACACAGGTGCAACCACATAGTCACAGGGGAAGGGTTACTTTCAATCACTACCTGATTAAAACGGTGGCGCTTCTGAAAATGAGGAAAAGCGGGTAATGATACTGTTGACTTACACCACTGAAAATCTTACCAGCTGTTACTTGTTCTAGGTTTCGGCAACTTTTGCGGCAAGTTTAGTTACCAGCCCTGCTATCGGTGCCTACCTTGGTCGAGTGTATGGCGACAGCTTGGTTGTGGTCCTGGCTACGGCAATAGCCGTGTTGGACATCTGTTTCATCCTCGTGGCTGTACCAGAATCGCTGCCAGAGAAGATGCGGCCGGCGTCCTGGGGAGCACCCATCTCGTGGGAACAGGCTGACCCTTTTGCAGTAAGCTATTTAAATCGGGAATGTCGTGTTCTTTGTAAGCGTTGAGCTTTTGAGGCAGGGAAGAGGCTGCATTTACTGCGTTTCAAGCTTGAAAAACAAAGCCATGTTTTTTCAAGTTTAACTTTGCGTCGCTGCTAGTACTTTTGCCAGCGATCTTGCTAAACACGCCGGGAGGGTTTTGGTGGTAGCACGTAACAGCTTCGCTCAGTGACGTGCTTTTCAGATTCTGGCCAGGTACGCTTTTCTGAACACGAAGATTAAACGTTTTATACGGTTTTTTTTCTTGCCGTAGTCACTGAAGAAAGTCGGCCAGGACTCAGTTGTGCTGCTCATCTGCATAACAGTCTTTCTTTCCTACCTCCCGGAGGCAGGTCAATATTCCAGCTTCTTCCTATACCTCAGACAGGTAAGGCAACGGTTTTGATACAGATTTGAACAGAAGTAAATGTATAGGACAGTTTTCAGTATTGCTGGATTAATGCAGGCAGTGGAGATAACTAGTGTAAGTCAAAAGCTTCCAGCAGCTGATTGAAGCCCTCTTGCTGTTCTGGTTTTGTCTCTTTTTAGAGAGACAAAAAGAGAGGAGAGCGATGAATGAGTTATAAAAGTTTCTCATATTTTGTAATTATTTGCATCATTCTTGGACTGTGAGGTTCACTATTAAACTTTTTTTTCTTTTTTTGAGGGAACCATTTACTTGTTTTCTATTTATGCCCCTTTATTTTTGTATTTAATGAAAAAAAACCCAGACCCCACCTTTTTTCCTAAGTTAGGGAAGAGTTGAATAATCCCGCTCTTCTGCATTGTGTGTTCCCCACTGATGTTTGTGGCATTATTACGATGCAGGGTTTACAGTGAATAATCAAATTGCCTGTTTTTTCATCTAGATAATGGGATTTTCATCTGAAAGCGTTGCAGCATTTATAGCAGTCCTTGGGATTCTTTCCATTATTGCACAGGTGAGTTACTGCTGCGCCCGACACGCATTTGGTAACTTGGGAAGAGTCAAGCGCTGCGGGGAACTGCCAGCGCGCGTGGTTCGGAGCCGTGACGCCTTCTCTGCGGCCGTTTCTCCGAGTCTGACAACTGACCAACGCTCTGACCCTAACTTAGATGAAAAACCAGCTCGGTTCAGTCGTATCCAAAGTGTAGTGTGTTGGGAAAACCAAATCCTTTGTGCTTGGCAGAAGGGGTGACGGGTTGTTCATATTACTCGTTATTTTTTTGGTGGAGGCTCCTGAATACTTGGCAAATACCGCTTCTGCAGGATTTTACTGGGCTTTTTAAAATTAATTGGTTTAGTGGCATGTATTTAACATGTAGAGTAAGATGTTTTTGAGGGGTTTTGTTGCTTTTTTTAATGTATTAGAAATTAATTTATTAATTTATCTGCATGTATTTAACATTTAGAATAAAATGTTATTTTGGGGTTTGTTTTGTTTTGTTTTGTTTTTTTTTTAACTTTTTTCCCCTCTCTGTCAGACAATAGTTTTGAGTTTACTTATGCGCTCCATTGGAAATAAAAATACCATCCTGCTGGGCCTCGGATTTCAGATACTCCAACTTGCGTGGTACGGCTTTGGATCAGAACCGTGGTACGTACATTTCACTTGAATATCTGAATGATGGGGTGGCTTTCGGCATTTTACCCTTTATCCAAGGGAGACGCTTACGTGCATGTGTGCGTGTAGACGTACGCGCGTGTATACGTACATACGCGCGCTCTTGAGTGCGGCACGCCGCCCACGCAGAGCGCTTGCTTGGAGCCTCTCTGTTTTTGCAGGATGATGTGGGCAGCCGGAGCTGTTGCGGCCATGTCCAGCATCACCTTCCCAGCTGTGAGCGCCCTGGTCTCACGAACGGCGGATGCTGACCAGCAGGGTAGGTCTGTCCTGATGCGCCGAGTTGCCCTCGGAGACCATGGGGACGGACGGACGGACGTGTCAGGGTGCGGTGGCACCGCTCCTCGGGCAGCCCCGATCTTGGCACGGAGCAGCCCCGTCCACCCAGTGGTAAAAGCCGGGTTACCTGGGCGCTGTAACGCATTTGAATGAAAACAGTCAACAGGCCCCCACAGCAGCGAAGTATTTCGCAACCTTAAAGCGCTGTTTATTTTCCTCGCTTTGGACAAGTTTGCTTCATCGGCGGGGTTGTGTCCAGCGCTCTCTCCCGTGTGAGGCAGCGCGAGCGAGGACACCAGTATATACTGGTCTCTACGGGCGCAGCAGGGCAAGTGCTGCTCTCTGCCTACAGCGAGGTGGGAAAATGGGGAATGATGATATATGCGTAAATACGGAGAGGTAACAGTGTGTTTTACTTTCCCCAGGTGTTGTTCAAGGGATGATAACAGGAATTCGAGGACTGTGTAATGGTCTGGGACCAGCACTTTATGGTTTTATATTCTATATATTTCACGTTGAACTCAATGAGCTCCCCATGCCCGAGTCGCCATCAGGAGGTAGTGGGGTCACGCAATACCACTTACAACAGGTATTCATTCTTCTTTTATTTACTAATCCCCCAAAAAAAAGAAATGAGGAAGGGATCATGTGCCTGCCAGCTCTTGAGTATGATGCCGTATTACGCTTTGTTACACTAACTGTAAAGGAAGAGTGTAAAAGGAGGGTCTGAAATCACTCTTGGGGGGTTGCTGGCCTGTTTTCTCATTTTTAACTAGAGGGTGGGGTTTAGTGTAACTGCCAAAGCGATACACCTGATAGTAATAGGCAACTGCTGACCCTCATAAAGAAAGGGGCTAGTGTAGCAAGTTCTCTCCCCTCTTGAAATTTGTGTGCTGATTAGCAACTGTAGGCTGCTGCCGTGTGCCTAAAGGTTCCTGTTGTTGTTTTCAGAATTCTATAATTCCCGGGCCCCCGTTCTTGTTCGGAGCGTGCTCTGTGCTGCTGGCATTACTCGTTGCCTTGTTTATTCCCGAACACACGAACCTAAACGTCCGATCCGGCAACTGGAAGAAACACTGTGGCAGCCACGGCCATCCCCACAGCCCCCAGGCTCCTGGTGAAGCTAAAGAACCATTACTGCAAGATACAAATGTATGACAAAAAGCCAGGAAGAGCTTTTAGACTGTTTTTTTTCCATCAGCAGTTTGGGATACACATTCCAATTCCATAAAAAAATGTAATTTCTTAAGGTAATCTTAAGAAGTATCTTTCTGCATGAAATTTGTAGGAATTTTTTTTAAAAAAAGAGGACGTTTCTCCAAAGATGTTGCCATTGAGTTAATAATTTGCTTTTAAAAACCAAGCTGTTACATACTGGTCTCTTGCCATGAAACACTGTTACGGCTAAGCTTGACGTTCAGGTTGAGAGACAGAAGCGCGGCGTGAGCGTGTGTCCTTCCGTTCCCTTAAGGTGGTGAGCTTTAATTCCAGCCCTGCCGCGTCTCAGTGAGACGTACGGGCAGCCCTGCGGACCCACTCCTTTTAATGTCGTAAAATCTTGGGTCAGATGATTCAAAGCCTTAATGTAAATGTACTTGAGTAGGGAGAAGGTGAGTTGGTATCCTTTATTTTAAAAGTCATATGGCAGGTTTTTTTTTTTTAAAGTTTGTACTAACATAAAAATCACATGAGCACGCTTGCTGAACAGTAAACGTTATTTTTATGTAAGTAAGTGCATTTACTCTTTCTACTTTTGAATAAACGGTAGCATCGAACACTTGTTTAAGTTTCAAGTGGGTGTTTTGAGCCTACAAGTTTTGATGAGGGCTCCAAACCTCTGCTTGCCGAAGTACCGTTTATTATACCACTATATTTCTGATGTTTGGTAATCATAAAGGACCTCAAAACTTGAATACACAGACTGAAATATAAGCTGATAGCCTTGAATACGTCCGTGTGCTCTATCGTGGCCTTTGAGGACTGTCACAATAACCCTTTTGCATTACAGAGCTAATGTTTTAGTCCTAAATTTTCAGGACCCTTAGTACAGAAGAGAGCTTTATACAATTACCGATGTGAATTTCTCAAAAAGTGTATATTTTTGTGTCCAGTTGTATTATTTAAGTGTTCCTTTGTATAAATTTGTGTATAAAGTATTGTATAGGTTTAAAATGTTTTCATCTTGTGGTTATTGCTTAATGCTTTTTTACCTTTGAACATTCACCATGGTTGACCAAGAGCAGGAAAAAAAAAAATGTAAATATACTGTTAATAAAGTTGACTATTTTAATGAATTTTTAAATAATTGTTAATGTCTCTTAAAACCCGTAATTGAAGTGCTAAGTGTATTAGTTC